AAAACATAAATATTTTTGTCTAACTTTGAATCACTTTCATGAGGTATGTATTTTCTCTTATTTCTACCGTGAAAGCTTTCGTAAGAAATAATACTGGTTAAAAAAATGCAGTCCTTCAATGCTTTATTAGATTTTTGAAGCAGCCTTATTAATCGAACAAAAAAACCATTAATTCGAAACAAATCCAAGCAAAAGAATTATTCCTAGTTTTAACTCATCTTCAAAAAACAAGAAAATCATCTTAAACTTACTCTGTCATTTTAATGACTGATTTTACAAACGTTACGTTCGCTGATCACTGGGTAGACACAATTGATAAGACATGTCTAAAAAACAGAAACTGAAAATACTAGTTTTTGACATTTTTGTGTACTTATAAGCCTACAAACCTGGAATCTAAAGTATTAAGAAAGTTATGAAATAAAACATTTTTTGTAGCTCAAAAAATATGTTTGAATGATCCCTTGAAATCTGAACCAAAGCTTATTTTTGAAACAAAGAAGATTTTTCTTTTAAAGTAAAGAAAAATCGAGACGCATGGGAAATATTTTTTTCTTTTCACTTATTTTTGAAAAATCATCTTCGATATTAGATTCTATTGAACACATACTCAAGAAAAGCAATTATTTCTAATTATATACGAAGCGTAGAAGTATTTTAATTTTCAGAGCTATGTCAGTATTGTTTAATTAAACCTTGATACATTTCTTAATTAATTTACGGTGGAAAGTTATCTAAATTGCACAAAAAATAAATTTATTTTCTGCTGAGTAATATTCGGTTATAAATTTCACTCAAAAACAAGCTGAATATTTACACTTAAGTATTACTTATTAATTTGTTTACTTTAAAAAAAAAGTTAAAATGAAATTTCTTACATAATTAAAAATTATGAAACTTTTTTTGCGCACTTAATCTCACTGAGCTTAATAAATTTAAATATAAATTTTATTACTTTTCTTACCTTACGTAAAAAATTATTATTTTTACTCTTTGTTATATTATTTTGGATCATTAGTAGATTTTAGAGGAATATAGCATATTGTAGAATATTCATATCCTATTAACAATTAAAAAATAATCTTTTTAGGTAATAAGTTTCACTTTTGTGATGCTGTAGTAGATTGCTTAAGAATATAGTGTTGGGAACTACTCTTATTAACTATAAAACGATTGCACTGGGGAACAAATATTTTCTTTTAGTTTTCAGTTGCATGGGAATTTTTAATTGATTTTGAATATTTTCACTTCACTAATTTCAAATTAGTAATCTGTTTTACCATCAAAACTACAATGATTTTAATGGCATTTTTAAATTTTTCGAAACGCAAATTTTAAAAACGACAAATTACGAGGCATATTATTACGGCTCATAATCAGGATTAAAATTGCATAGGAACCCATGCCCGAAAATTTAATCATACGCTGCTAGGGGATCCTTCCTGTTGTGAAGTGTTTCTTCGTGTAAACGGGTTATAATAGGTAATCACATTTATTATGATCCATTTAATCCTGATGTTTATCCTACTGAAAAATAACTAATCCTGATGATCTGCCTTCATTTACCTAGAAATTTGTAGCAACATTAACGCGAATCTCGTTACAAATAGTTTTTCTGAACTTGTACATTTCTTTAAAAAATGAGCTAAAAATGTAATTTGAAAAAAATCGCGGTTTTACTGGCAAAACTAATTTCAGATTTTAAATCCNTATTTCTTCTTTTCTATTCTTGGATTTCCTCTTTTTTACTTTCTGACTGCTCTCATCCCTGACTGTGTAGCTAAGGTTCGAAGGCGTGTGGGGGGCTAAACTGTTTGACTTTGATACTATCACTTTTAACCAAGATATTCATTGTTTAGTTGTGTACAATAAGTCATTCCTACAAAATCATAGAAGTAATAATTTTTTTATAAATGATTTTTTTCTAGCAAATGAAATTAACTGGAGATTGCGGGAGGAAGCAGAGAGGGGCAGAAAGACGATTAAAAACAAACTTCAAGTTAAACTGATTTATATATTTATTACTTACGCCCTCCTTTATTGTAATTTATCAGATTTCGAGAGTGTTTCTGTTTTTTCCACAATTAATTAATCTGGGAATTTGTAATATAATTCACACATAATAAAATCCTCTATGAGATAATTAAAAGGGCATCAATTCTCAGATGTTATTAAAAATTCTTTTTTTCTAAAGGCTAATCATTAAAAGCGATCATTAAAAGATAAGATCATTATAAATTGAATGCTTGAGTAAATTTCATGTACTAAATTTCGGTTTTTATAATTCATCAAAGTCTACTTAAAATATGAATGCTTCACCAGCAAAATCAATTTAATCCACTTCTAGCACAAAAACGGATGTTATTATTATTTCCGTAGTATTTTTTGTTTTTTTTTGTTTTACTGAATCGAATTTGTGACCAAAAAATAAGTCAAGAAGACGAATAGTTCAGAAGTTGCAAGGGATTTTATGTATGAAAAGTACTGTTTATGATTTATACATATTTATACATTGTCATGTAGTTATCTAAATAAATAAAGCATGGTTTCTTACGTTTTTTTTTTTTTTTTTTTTTTTTTTTTTTTTTTTTTTTTCTTTGCACTGAATCGAAGGAATAAAAAAGGCAAATCAGAATCAAAGTCAATAGTGTAATAAATAGAGCATGGTTTCTTACATTTTTTTTAAATTTTTTTTTGTACTGAATCGAAAGAATAAAAAAAGGCAAATCAGAGTCAATGTCAATAGTGTAAATAATTTATAAGAAATGAGCAAATAAGCACAAAATAGTACTTTTTAGACATAAAACTCTTTTCAACTTGTGAACTATTATTGCTATTGACTCACATTTTATCTCATTCAATTCAGCGTAAAAATATGTAAAAAATAATACGTCACTTGTCTAGAAAGCAATATTAGATGCGTGACTAAATACAAATCAATCATAGTACGTTTTGTTCATAAAACCATTACAAATGGGAAACTCGTAGTTAGTTCCATTGAATATTTAACTGTTTTTTTGATTTAACCTCGTATTATTCTTTTATAATTTCTTAATTAGTTTGTTTGAATGTCCAACTTCTATTGTCTTCGTAAAAAAATACTCGAAGTGAAGAATAATACCTTACTTGTCTAGATGGTCACTAGATTGCTGTGTCAAAATTGTTAACGGTGCGGGGGGGAGGGAGGAATCGAATTGAATAATTTTTAATCTAATGATCGGATTTTCATGTACTAGGACTCAAATTAGTTAGTGCAGATGATATTTTAAAATACGAAATCAGACACAAAATCATATTTCTCTGAATAAACATAATTTTTTTTCGCCAGATTTTGATTTTTGACGAAGTTCGATGATTTTTAAAAAAGTCAGATATTTAAAATTTTATTTCTCAGGAACTGTTCGACCAATTTCATTTCAATTTTATAATTTGCTATGTAAAATTACATTTTTTAAAATTATCTGAAACAGTGCATACTTTACAATTCAATTTTTTTATTATTAATTAATAAAATAAAAAATAATTATTAAATATTATTTTTTGATGTGTATTATCTATAGATAAGCAAAGTTTATAATTGGGCAAAAAAATAATATCCGCCGAAATAAACAAAAAGCATAAGGAACATAAAGGGGTCTAAACTTTCGACCGCTCTTTTGGCCAAATTATTGGGACCATATTTTCCAGATTGCTGCTATCCCATACTTTTGGGGTCAGAAATCATAATTCATTAAAAAAAAAAAGCTCTGTTTATTTAGAGAAAGTACGTTTTGTGTCAGATTTCCTTACTTAAAAAATATCGTCGGCACTTACTATTAGCATATTTAAGGCTACCTCTTCGAACTGTTAAGATTGAGTCTTAGAACGTGAAAATACGATTATTAAATCAAAAGTCATTCAGGAGAATGTTTTTTTTTTTAGGCATACTGAACAACTCAAAAATAGGACTTTTTTTTTACATAAAACCCTTCCAACTTCTAAACTATTATTAAATGATTCAGCGTGAACACATAAAATATAAACTTATCAAGATAACAATGCCTGATGTGTCATGTCAAACTGCTAATAAAGCTTTTAAACTATTAGTCCTATCATGATCTTTGTTAAATTCACCTCAACAATTGGGTGCTCACTTATGTATAGAATTAATAGGAAATATATGAAAATAAAATGCTTTATTTGCCTGCATGGAAGACATTCAATTCTTCTCCCAAATCACCCCATTTCTTTCAAAAAAGGGTTCTTTAATAATAAGTTGTAACTCCACTAAATAACAAAAACTTTGTAGAACTTCAGGTAATGATTTATATTTGTTTTATGGTGTTAATTGATTTGGCAAGAAAAGGCCTACTCACATTAATGAATTAAGATAAGCTATTATAAGTTGAAAAATTTGACCTTCTTTCAATATAACATTTCATTTTTGGAAAATACAGTTGTGAAAATATAGAATCAACAGTTTAGCCATGAAAGTATTCGAAAGCTTGATCCTCTTTAAGGTATTTATAGCTTTGAAAAAATTTAATTTCATCAAAATCAATAAGCATAACTACCAACTCTTCTGCATTTTTCGATCGAGCTCATTTTTATGTAATTTCATAAAAATTAGAAATTTATGAAGAAAATTTTTAGAAATACATATTTTTAAATTTTTATTTCTCAAGAAATCTATCATTGATTTCGTTCAAATTTTACACCTTAAATTTAAAACTGCATTGTTTAAAATCATATGGAAATTTATGCAACTTACTGTTAAAAAAATATTTGACCATCATTCAATTACAGTTTTTACTAATGTCATATTTCCTAGTTGAAATGCAAGTCAAACAGTTCTTATAATTTTTGATTAAATAGAAGTAACTCTTGGTGTCATTTACACTTTTATTTTTTACTAGCTTATAGAAATTTAAAATATTTTTAAAAATTTATTTTACTTAAAATTTTTTATTTAAAAATTTATTTCTTTTAGCTTTTATTCATGTGCTCATTTTCTATTTTAGATTCTAAGAAATCAATGACTGGACCTGTTGCATCCTCTAACATGGGACCTGGAGGTGGTGTGGGACAGCCTTCTGATCCAATGAGTGCTCTTAAAAGTATGGCTGGACAAGGTAGTGGGACAGTTACAATCCAATCACAACCAGGACAGACACAAATGACTGCATCTCTTTTAGGGTCTGGTGGTACTATCAGTCAAATGCCAACTCCTCCTCAACCACAGCAGATTCAAGTACAGTCAATGGGATCTGGTATAAATCCAGCAAGTGGACCCAATGTTGTTCCACAATCAATTAATCCACAAGGGATGAATCCCATGGTTATGCAGCCAACTAGGTGTAAGCATATAGTGGCTCAATTTTTTCACTCTTTTTTTTCCCACTTTTTTCGGACCAATATTCTAAGTGTGTATCAGCTGTTGTAGTATGCCATTAAGACAAAGGCAGTTTTTCCTTGCTTTCCAGTGGCGTGATGTTTTGTCTAGAATTTGACTTCTGCCACACGCATACGTACGTCACAGCTCATTTTTAGGGCGGACCCATTCATTATTCCACAGAGTGTAATTTTGACCTGAACCAGAGAACGACCAATCTCCAATCACCCTGAGATGTATGATTTGTAATGGGAACATAGAGGACTTTGTGACCCTACAGATTTAATGTGCGCCAGTCAGCATTTACTACATGGAGAGTCTTCGGCCTGCAGGAGTCGAGCTCACGACCTCTTGGGCATGGGCCCAACGCCCTACCAACCAGGCTATCCAGGGCCCAGTGTATCCGTATGAAAATAGTTACATTATCGTGGATTACTCAGAACCAATCAACAAATTCAAAAACATCCCTTCATAAACTATATTTATTGTGAACATTGTGTCACAAAGTGAAGTAAATCAATTTAATATTGTACTAGTTAGTTAGAGAAACATAATTTTCATAAAATTGCGTTATTGTTTTGTAATCATAATCCACATGTATAAAATTTTACTACAACTATAATTCTTCAATACCAGGTCCATAAAATACTTATTCTTCCTCATTTTTAGCAGTCTCAAGGGCTAGTCTAGTTCTTCTTGTCAATCTACTCTCATGTGACGCGTCACATGTTTTTAGTGAGTTAAAACTCGGCAGTCAACTTTATTTTAAGCAAGTTTTTTGGCTGCTGGGCCTAAAATTATTTATAATTGTTCCAAAACTGTTAGTAACGTTAAAATTCTTACAGCTAAATAAGTTGACAAGGCTATTAGCTATCATTTTGTAGAACTCTGTTTTTATCTCTATGAACCCCACCCAGTTTCAGGGTCTAGTGTCAGATAGTCTATGCAGTTAATGTGGTTGGTATGCAATGCTGAGCATATTGCCACCTTCATATCATTAGTCTCAAAATTGTAGAGTCTTAACCTCACCTGACCAACAACTGCTTGTTTACAATAGTGAAGAAATGTTTTACTTTTTTTTTGTGAAAAACTGTTTTACTTTTTCATTATGTAAAGAGTAGTATATAATAAAAATCTCTTAAGATTATTTGAAAAATTTTTCAATTTATTTTTAATATTTTTTAATGTAACACGCTGAAGTATTTGTTTTTCAGGAAATGCTTGCAGACTAGATATTAGTGCATCTTTCACCCTTTTTTTATTAATTATCAACAACTATTTTAAACTAAAATGTCTATTCTGAATTATTATGAGTTGCATTTATTTCTATTACTATTATATATCTTAATCTCTTTATCTGTTTATAAAATTTATATAAATTGTGCATTGTGTTACCTTGTACTTTTATTCCAAATTTACCATTTTGACATTTGCTCCTTCTGGTCAATGATATAAAATTTTTATGCATATATTTTTTTACTCTGTATTTAAAAACATTAAAATATGGCGCAATGCTCCAAAAAGAGTTCAAGAACTTACTTATTCTGCATTTATTTTTTCTGCCTGATTTTCTTCCCTTAATACAAACAAATAATACTCTATATTATATGCATATGGTCTGTACTTTAAATAAAATCCTAAAATGAAACAGGAAAGATTAATAGTTTTAACTTTTGCTTAAAAACTTAAATTAAAAATGACTTATTTAAGGGGGGATTATTAAGGGGGATTATTAAGAGGGGATTTTTTTTCCTCCATAAAATTTTTTTTTCACTGCAATTAAATAGAAAATCTGTTCAACGCAATACACTGAAAAGTAAATGACCTAGTCTGTGTTCCTTTGAAGTTATAATTAAGTAAAGCATTCCCACAATATGTATTCCATGAAGGTCATGGTGGGGTAAGGCTCCATAATTTCATGATCATTGCCATGATAATGGTAATGTGAACAGCATTGCTCACCATGTCTCATTCAAGCTGGTACTCATAGATCTGTGAATGAACTTCAAACCATGGGTCATAACCCTAGTTCTTAGCAATGACTTTTCAATGCCTAAACTATTGAGCCATTGTGGCTTCTTTATCAATGTTATACCATCTTAAATATGATGTCAAATATAATATTCAGGCTCTTTACTTATAGAGTATTAATTACAGTTTTAGGACCTGGCAATGTAATGAATCCACAATCTGTGCAACCTAGGCAAATGATGGCACCAAATGTGTTGATACAGAAATTCAGACAGCAAGGCCCTCCTCCTAACGTTACTAGCACTAATATTGTAAGTTACAATTTAGCTAGCAGTTTTTTGCTTTTGTTATTTATCATTTGTTTTTATAATGAAACACTGGCCGGAAACATTGATTGTGTTATTGACATTATTCTTAAATTTTATAATAGTAGTACTTATTCTATCTCTTCAGCCAATGCAAGGGAATTACAACGATACTATGTTCATGCAGTCCCAACAAAGTCCACTTTCAACTCAGTATCAAGGTCACAGTCCTGCACCTGCTGCTGTTAGTACTAGTTACCATTTCTTTTGTTCCTAACTAATATATATTATCTTTTAATTTCTGATGTCCTAAACTTCTTATACTTTTCTTTCCTTTCATAAATGTTTTATTTTGTTTGTAACTCTATTTTAAGGAATATTTATTATATTTTCTTTTTGTTAATTTAACATGTTTATTGTTTTTATGATTATTGTTATCAGTTTTTATTAAAAGTCTAATATTGCAATTTCTACTAATAAATTCTTATTAACCCATCCAAAAATTCATAATTAATCAATCGAATCTACTTTTGATCCAGATATGAATATCAGAAACTATTTCAGGGCAAGGTCTCAGTCCTGATATCTTTTGGTAGTTCATACCTCAGACCCAAAAAAGCTGCTGAAATTTCGTTCAATTCTTCTTGATGGGCCTTTTAGGTCCAAATTGACAATTACTATACTTTTTGGATTAGCTGCACATTACTGTTTTTATTATTTTTTGAAAATCATATGAGCAAAAAAAGTTATTCTGAAAATCTTATTTTATAAGAATATTGGTACACAAACACTTTATGCAAAATTATTTTGAGCCATGTCATTTATAAAATGTATATTAGAATCAGGGATTACAAGTTTTTCTTAAAGGGGAAAAACCACCTTTGAAAAAAACATATTTCTTCCTACCCAAGTACAAGAAATGGAAAAAACTCACACTCTCTTTTTCACAAAGAAATTTCAAATATTAAAACAATTTTTAAGCATTTTATAAATACAATCTAGTTTAAATAATAGTATTAATTTTCAAGTTGCATGTAATTTTTAAAAAAGTAAAAGCTAAGAAGCAATGGTTAGATAAAAATATTAACATATTCAATGAATTTCTTAAAAAAATTAAAATGAATAGTTTCTGAATGCTTTGTAAAGTGTAATTAAATCTACTTTTATTAATACTACTAAATTAACAAATCACCTACTAAGCATATAATCTCCTAAAAAACACATATAGAATTTTAGATTACTAATAGCATATTGATTTTTATAATCAAATACTGTTAAATGTAAATGCTCAAACCTTCTCTTAAGAAATATAATATGTAAACTTTTAAACTTATGTTCAAAACTAAAAAAAAAAAGTATGAAAATAACTTCAATACTTTTTACTTTCTGGTACTATATTAAATTTAGTTTGTTTAAAGTTAAGCTCATCTTATAATACTTATTTCTAAGCACTTGTATTGGATATTTTTTGTTTCTACCAGCATAGCGTAAGAAATAGGTAAAATATCAAACCTGATTAGATCAACCTCTCTATGGTATAAAGTGTATATTGGCATTTTGTTTAAACAATTAATAATCTGGTAGGAGTTTTCTTTATGCACACAAAGTGATTCAAAACTAGAGAAGAGAACTTAGAGGAAAGGTGGAACGCATTATAAAGACTGCTACTTATATAGCATTTTAAAACAGAAAATATCATTGCTTGCTGCAAAGGGCGCCATTCCATTATGAACTATTTTTTTTAGTGCATTTGATTTGATACTTTTATTTATCTAAATTTTGTGTTTCATTAATAGTTATTGTTATTACTGGTAAAATACTAGTTCAAATGTGTGCAAAAACAAACAACCATTAAATAATGAGAGACCTCTTCATAGTGGCATGCAATGACATTTCTGGTTATGGTTTGTTTTATGAATTTCAATTCTTATGATGCACCTTATCTCTCTTAGAAGTGAGTTCCTATAGTTTTGGAATGCTTGTGTAATCCATTAATTTCTGCATTCTTATTTTTACTATTATTATAAAAAATGTGCTTTGTTTTTTTCTTAGAAATTTTTGAATTATTACAAATGCTCATAAAAGTGATTTTCTGATGTGATTTTAGCTTGTTATGTTTTATCATTGAAGATTGTAAAAATTATGATTTTTAAATCATCCTGGTCCTTAGTTGAGTGGGTACAATTAAAAAAATTTTTTGAAAGAAAGAAGTACTTGTACTTGTCACTATTCCTTATGCTACATTCTTTTGAAGCTATTTCTGTGTATAGTTTATGGAAAAAAAATGAGTTTGAATAATTATTTTCATGAAATACTGTACTGTAATTTGTACTGGTATATTTTTCTTCTCTTAAATGTAATGTGCGGTCAGAGAATTCTTGCTGCAGGTGTGTATCTGAAAGTGAATTTGTAGAATATTTTTTCATCAATTATATATTTTTTATAGATTTTTATCAGAAATTTATCTGTGATTCTGCATTTTAATCTTATATTTAAAAATTGAAAATGCTAAAGCGGGTGATATTCATCAAGAAACCTTTTTTTGGCCCTGATTTTAATTCCATTATTAAACTAACTATCAGTTCCTATCACAGTGGATTCCCAAACATGTTATTCTTTTTAAACTAACCATTGAGCTAGCTTTGATACTTGAAATACTGTGATTAGTATCACTTCAGGGGTCTGTGTAGGTTTTTCTGACAGGTACCTATTTTGTGAAAATTTAGACGTAATTTGTGAAAAATTAAAAATTATATTAAGAAATCAACACAAAAATATGNAACTATTATTTTAACACCTCTCTCTGGTTCCTGTAGTTCCACAACCCTACATACTTGAATGACATTTGTTTTCTTTTATTTCATGGGTCAAACTCTGTTACAACATTTGATTTTACTACCTTTAATTTGTAATGTCATTTATGTTTGGAGATAAAAACTTTTACAATCATTTTGTTCAAATATAACTTTAATATCTTTGAATTGGAATCGAATTTTTAATGATTTGCTGATCATATTAGAACAACAGAAATGCTCCTGTGTGGTCAATTTTTAATTTCCCCGATCTTTATAAAATTATAGTTGGTTTTGTGAGCACTATCTATGTACAGTGTGCAAAAAAAAAAAAGCACACACCATAATAACTTTTCATATAATGATTGAATTTTATATGAATTTTTTCTCACTATAACTAAGCTAATTAATTAGTACAGACAAGTTTTGAAGTCAAACACAAATACTCTTTTTCTCTGAATAAACATGCATATATTTGGCACATTTTAATTCTTGACTATAGGGAGTAGCCGTAATCTGGGAAACATTGTTTCAATAATTTAGGCTGGAGGGCAATCAAAGGCTTGGGCTCCTTAATATTAATTTTATTTTTTATATATATCCTATTTTAAATAAGTTTATTTTTAGAGTAATATTTCTCAAGAACTATTTGACTGATTACCTTTAAGTCTTAGATTTTATCGTTTAAAATTATGTAGAAGTTGGAGTATAAATTTATGTACAGTAAAATTAAAAAAAAATTCTATTGTAAATAAATTAAATAACAAAAAATTATTATATAAAAACTTTTTTTACTTGAAATTACCTTTGTATAAGCAAGTTTAATAATTGTCTGCAAAAGCTATTATTTTCTTTTCTTTGTACAAAGGGAACCATTACTAGTTCCCTAGTAATGGCGAAATACTCTTTAAGCGAAATTAACATCAAGGGACCCAAACTTTTGACTGTCCTCCTACCTATTTCCAAACTATTAGGACCATATTTTTCAGTTAGCAACTAACCCCATATTTTGTGGGTCAGGAATTAAAATGCATGGATAAAAATGCATTTTTCTTCAGAGAAAGTATGTTTTTATGCATCATTTTGTAATTTAAAATATCAGCTCTAATTAATTACTGTACTCTAAAGTTAGATTCTGATGAATTAAAATTGAGTCTCTGCCTGAAAATCTGAACATTCAATCAAAAGTTATTTTAGGTGTTCGTTTTTTATGCATTGTACAAGGCTATCTAATATTAATTATCTGACCAGTGTCATACTTATTTAACTTCATGTTTTTTTTTATTGCTTTTGTTATTAGACTTACTACTAATCAAATTGTTGTTTATTGTAATATAACTGTACTTATGAGCATTTTAAAAACATAACTTATTAATATATTTTTCTGTATTTTATTAATAGGGCTGTTTGCCTAATCAGGGACCTAACAGTAATCAATCAGCTGTTCCATCTCCTGCTAGTCATCATCCTCAAAGTCTTGGGTGAGAAAGTATTTCTCATCAGTTTCTTTCTAATGCTAGTATTTTTTTCTTATTAGTAATATGAATAACAATATTCGTATTTCTTATGAAATGCAGATAAATAGTTTATAAATCTTTTTAAAATAAATGTAGGATGACCAATTAAAAATTATTACTTCTTGACATTATTATTTTCGTAGAATTAAATTCATGTTGTATACCAATAATTTTGTAATAGAATTTTGTTTGAAATTACTTGATTACAGTTTGTTTACATTGAATAGATAACTTCAAATGTAAAATATACTTTATAAAATTCATGGATATTTTTTAGTGTTATAATTAAAATTATATTATTAGTGTTATAATTAAAAATAACTTACGCTTGGAAAATTTTTGTTGTTAGACCCCAAATGGTGGCTTCTCCAGCTGTCTATGGGCAGAGTCCTAATCCTCAGATAGCCCCATCGCCAGCAGGGAGTTACAATGTTCGAACACCTGGAGCTCCTTCTCCTGGTAGTGCATTAAACACACCAAGTAAGAATTGTACTTCAACTGTAACATTTATTTAATCAGGTGTATTTGTACAGTTCAATTCTTTGAGTCGACATAAATTAGCATTGTTAGAATGAAACGAACATGTACAAAATATATGCTTTAATTTATTAGGATATTCATGCTCACTCACAAAGCAGTTTTAAGAAATCAGGTTTAAAGTACGGTTTGGCAAAAAAAAAGAAAAAAAACATTCAAACAATTTTTAATCTAACTTTACAAAAAATAAATAAATTAACAAATGATAATAAGAAAAGACTTTCTTAGCAAATAAATTTAATTGTTTTTAAAGTGAGCACCATTTACAGCAATGCAATGACGATCTTAACACTTTTAGAAATTTTCGGCAATGTGCTGCAAGTTTTCTGCCTTTAGTCTATCCCATTCCTGCTAAAACGATTGCTTTATGGGTATATCACATGATGAAAATTATTGGCAATGAAACCGGCAAGGCAAATGTTGTCCACCACTTTCTCCAAAAATTGCTTGAAAATCCTCATGTGGCATAGAAATATCAGCAACTGTTCAGGCAATTTCACACTTGAACCAATCAGATCGTTTGCAGCTTATGACGTTTCATTTCATTTTCATTTGTAAGCAAAATATGGCGACCAGCAGAGAAATAGAATGGGATGCTGATACGTACCTGCCAAGTCTCCTGTTTTTTAACGAAGAATCCTGAATTTTACGACTATCTCCTGTTTACCAGTATATTCTCAAATGTCTCTGTATTTCTTGAAGAAATTTGAAAACAAAGATTTGTTGAAGGAAGAAAAAAAAGTTTGGGATAAAATATCAGCTGATGGCAAAAATACTAGTCTTTTTCCTCAACAGATGGTGCTGCAGTATGTTGAGTGTTTATAGCTTAAGTAATCTATACATAATAATAAACGCGACTGTGTGTTTGTCTGTCTGTCTGTAATCACAATATATCGCCCCAGAAGCCTCGCCCAGGCACGAAACTCTGCACATAAATGTGTTTTGACATAATCAAGAAGTATTTTTTTTTTCAAAAAATTGGATTAGTTTTTTATTTATCAGTCATTTTGTAAGAAAATCTATGGTTTTTCATCTTCAAAGAGCCATATTCAAAAAACTATTTAAAAATGCATATACTTTTCTCCACTCTTATAAATGTATGCTAATGCGAACCTTACAATTGAAATATTAATTTTCGACAACTTAAACCAATAATATACGAAGGAATTAATAATTTAATTGTAAGGTTCGCATTTGCTTACATTTATCAAAGTGGAGAAAAGTTTAACTTTTGTCTGCAGCAGAACTGGATATGAAGACAAAATTGCAGGGCAGGAATACTTTAATTGTCCACTAATCTTCAGATTTCCTGCTATGTTTTAAAGAACTGTATTTGTGAAAACCTTTAGCGTGGCGGACAGCTGGCCGCCTAAGGCGGCTATTTTATAAGTAATGGTTTTTAAAAAAATCTTCTTTAGATTAAGATTTTTGTAGAATTTTTTTACTTCGTTAAATGTAAGTGGTTATACTATTTCCAAATTTATTTTCTCTTTTTGATTTTCATGATTATGCATGATGTATGACAGGGTATCCACTTACCTGGAATTATCAGGGAATTTTTTTATACTGGAAAAATCAGGGAAATTTGGATAAAAACATGGAAAAATCAGAGAATTTGAAAGAAAAGCTGGAATTTTTTTCTTATTTTAAATTATTTTACCATCTGTTATTATTTAGATGAGAATTAATTGTCAAGCAGTTGAAATATCATCAACTTAGCTATACTTTGCTTGCATTCAAATTCTCCATTATTACCCTGCTAAGCTAGAAGCCATATGAAACTCTCCCATGTTGCTAAATGAATGAAAAAATCTTTGACCTCTTTGTAGATTAGGAAGCTATGCTTTTTGGGAAAGACAAAAATTGTGGTGAAGGTCGAGGAAGGGTTTAGGATATTTGCTTTTGTTTATAAAAAAAATGTTTTTTTTTTAATCTTCTAGTCCGTGGGCTGAATGAATTCATTTATTGTTCAAGTTTGTTCTGACACTTTGGGGTGCTTTTTTCATTTAACAAAATGTTTTAGTATTTTTAACTTTATAAAATTCTCCAAAAAATAATTGGTTATAATTCAATAATAGATTTTATCTTGCATTCTTTTTCTGAAAGTTTTTGCATCCAAGGAATGATTTTTTTCTCAGCAAAGTTAACTAATCGCTCTATTTCTTGAATTGCTAGCAGCAAAATATAGAATATAAATTTTTTTTATTTATATTTGTTTATCCGAAAGAGGAAAGCGAAACTAGAATTTTTTTTCGTTCCACACTGTACAGGTTTCAAGTTGGGCATCCAGATTACCAAAATTTTAACTTTTAAACTTTTAATCTTAATATTAAGTAAACATAGTATAATTTCCAAGGTAAAAGATTGCAGATTTAGAAAAATTGACTTTATATCAGTTTTCAAAAAGTTATGGGTGATTAACTTAAGGGCTGTTAACTGAAGATATTTTTAACCATGGTAATTGAATCTCTATTGATATCTTCACCTATTTGGGGTCTAAGATTAACAACAAAAACGACACTACACAAGAAATACACACGAGAATCACGATGGCCAATAAGTGTTTTTATGTATGGTCTAAGAAAATATCTTAAGTCAAGCCTAATAAAAAGAAAAACAAAAGTGTTACTCTATAAATGTCTTATACGATCAGTGCTTACATATGCATGTGAGACCTTGACAATGACCCGTGGAGAGGAAAATACGATAGCTAGATTTGAGAGAAAAATACCGCGAAGCATTTTTGGTGGAATAAGTAAAAATGGTACCTCGTTTAGAAGATCAAACACGGAACTTTACAAAGCATATGAAAAACCTGATGTCATTAAAATTATCGAAATTCAAAGGATTAAATGGGCAGGCCACATTATAAGAATGGAGGTAAGCAGGACAACAAAAAAAGTTTTCTGTGCCAGGCCAACAGGTACAAGAAAAAGAGCACAACCAAACCTAAGATTTTTAGACTGCCTTGAAAAGGACCTACAAGTTTTAGAGATAATAAACTGGAGAACCTTGGCTAAGGGAAGAATATCTTGGCATAGGCTTGTTGAGAAGGCCAAGTCCCATCCTGGGCTGTCGTGCCAATGAGAAGAAGAAGAAGAATTGAATCTCTAACAAAGTAGTTTTTTTTTAATTCATACTAATAGTAGAAAATGGAAAAAATAATAATTAAAGTGAACTCTAACAAAACAGGTTATCTTGCACAAATTTGTACAAACATTTAACATTTTGATGTGCAAAAAAAATTTTCCAGATGCATTTGCGATATTTTATGTGTGACTCCTAATAATAATTGTACATAATTAATTGTACTGTGCCACTAGGATTTAACATAATTAAATTATTTTTCTGTTTAAAGCAAGATGTTGATAATAATAATTATTTTTTATTGTTAATTAATAATTTTTATGTCAGACTTTGCTGCTGTTCATTACATTTGATGAGTTTGGTAATATTTGTTTTAATTACATTATTTATTTCCATCTCTTATTTCACTTTTTCTTTATAAAATGAAGTGAAATATGAATGGAAACCATCTAAATATTTCGTTAGGTTAATTTACAATAATGTATTTCACTTCAGTAACCTAATAAAATTTGTTTAACTATACTGTACTTTAAGTTATTTATGTTAGAACTTAAAATTGATCAATGAAATTTTTATATATTTTTAAATTTTATTTTATATATTTATTTGAGATAAGCAACTCAGTTTTAATTTTTTGAGAAACAATTTAACTTCATTAGAACATTTTAAATCAATCATTTTGCTTAGAGCTTGAAAAATGTATTTAGAGAAAAAGAGATTTCAGAACATTCTATAGTAATTTATTTTTTTTTTTTTTTAGTAAAGAATGAAAATAATTTTTTGAAAAAATGATGAACCTGCTTGCATAGCAAACTACTACAATAATGCACATTCTATTAAATTTTTAGATAAATGGGATAAAAATTGTTAGTCCTTATTGGACCTGTAATTAGCAAATGAAACTGCTCAGGAGGGTATTAAATAAGATATAAAAATTTATTCTAGAATTCATATAAATTTTTTTTCTCATAAGTTTGGTGAATCTCTAATGCTACAACCATGGACATATGCTTTTTCTTGTTCACATATGCTTTTTCTTGTTTGCCGCTAGCTATGCAAAATCAGTCAAGTTTACATTTAAATTACAAACAAATTCGCAGAGTTAAGATAATTTGTAAATAAGTAATCTATTTCTGCTTTTGTACAATTTGCATCGGACACCAACAATCTAATCCATTTAATTTGAACTTATTATAATTAGGTTTTATAAAACAAATTATTTTTCGATAGGTTATGATGTACTAAATAATATTAACTCATCTGCACACAATAGCCATACTCTGCTGCCTGGAAATGAGGCGTTTGGTCGTTACATTGCCTCCAAATTAGATGAATTCAAACATGATTCCGAGAGGAATAAGTGCGAGAAAGAAATAGTAGATATATTAATGAAGCACCTAGAGGTTGATAAGATAATAATTTAATTTATTTTATTTTTCTGAAATAATTGTGAACAGATTTTTATCGAAGATTACATGCCATGTAAATTTTTTTCCTAATTTGTTTTGTGAATAAATATTTCTAATGTTTTAAATGTGTGTCATCATTTATAAAAGTTGTTCTACCTAAAATAAAAGTAGTTTTTATACATATTTTATTAATAATCTTATTAATTATACATTATCTTTGTTTAAAAATAAAAGAATAGTAAAAAATATTTTAATGATGACAAGACAAATGATAAATAGCACATCAAATGAAGTAAAAATAAAAAGCACATAAAATTAAGTATAAATAAAATGCACCTCTAATTAAATACAAATAAAATATATATTAAATTAAATACAAATAGAATATACCTCAAGTGTAATTCATATTGACATTTTTATGAAATACAAATCAATTTTAAGTTATAAGTAGTGTAATTATACTATACATTCCATGCATAGCATGACTATGTGACTTGACAGTTAATTATTGCTCTTTTTCAATTGTGTGATACTTTAAAAAAAAATTTTTACATTGTTTTGTATGTTTATGGAAGAATAACTATATTATTAGCTGCAAACAAAGATACAGGCGCATGCCGTTGAAATATTTAATAATTAACATTTTCCTAAAGATTTAGGAAACTACACAATTAAAAATTTTGTACAGTTATTAAATTAAATAACTCTTTCAACTAATGAACTGAAAAATTAAGACAATTTGATAAATATTTAAAATTATTTTTGAAAAATGAGCCTTGTAATTAAGATACAGATGCACAAATTTGTATTTTTGTTAAAAGCAAAATTTTTTTTCTTTCTTTAAAAACTTTTGACAATTTTTAGCAATTAAGAGTATACTTTACTGGCTCTTATTTTCACTAAATATTCATTATTTCATTTTTTCTTTTAATATTTTGATTAAGTCTAAACAGTGTAAATGTATCAAGAATAAAAAAAATCCCAATAAATAAATTTAAAATTTCTGCTTAACCTTCAATATGCACTGAGGGATTTTGCAGATTAGTAAAACTAAATTATACCCTCAATAAAAAATACTTTTTAAAAATTTTTTTTACTGAAAATAAATATTATTTCTTTAAGGAAACATTTTTTAAAGTCTTACCTGTAGCCAAATACCTTAAGGTTATTTCTAATCGTTCTGCTGCATTCTATACTCATGACAGTATTTTGTTTTACTATGAAGGACTCGACTTTCTGTAACAAAACTTCAAATGTTTCTGTGTCCATTCTGAGAAAACGAAGATATCTATAGCATTTACTATCCATCGTCGTTTTTATTGCAAAAGGCTAGTAGAGTTTAACGTCTTGATTACGGCTGGTACAACATGTGGACCACATGTGATGGTACAAATGATACACCGTAAACAGAAGGTTAATTAAATAGTTTTATTAAAGATGCTTTTATGAAGAAAATAATTAAAATATGTTCTATTTATTTATGAAGTACATTATTCATTTTAAATAACTATACATGACAATTATACAACAAATAAAACATTGATTTAATTGAAATGCTTCATATTGAATTATCATTTGATTAGTTCATATTGAAAATTGTTACTTCCAAATCAAAATTTGATGTTGACAAAAAATACTTAAATTTTTAGCTTGCTACATTTATTGCATTCGCCTGAAATTTTATAAATTATACATTAAACTTTTGTTTTATCTAATTTTACTCATATTTTAATCATAAATACTTAACAAATCAAGTACTATTTTTGTAAATGCATTTTCTTCTTCGTTTAAAAAGTAATGTAGTTTTCACTTTCAACCTAAATAATTTATGGACTACAAGTGTTAAAATAATAGCAAATATTCTACGCATTAAATAAAAAACAAATCTTCTGAAAAATGAGCTAATCCTTTAAAAATTAAACAATAAGCAAAATTTGTGATAATGATAAAGTATAAACAAATTAATAAAAATAAAATTAACTTACCTCTTATGCTAATTCCCTCATAAGATTTTCATAACATCAAAGTTGTATTCTTCTGAGCAGCCATTTTTTGACCAAAGGGTTTTTCTTTCTTTCTTCCTCTTAATTAAACCATGAATAATTAAAGAAACAATCACTGCATTTGCTGTTTGATTTTCCCATGTGGATATCACTATTACAGAATTCTGGTATTGAGTATGTCTGGAAATAACTAACAAAAATATAATCATATGAGAAAATAATTGAAGAGAAACGAGAATAATGAAATAAAACTCAAGTTGTCACCAAAGCTCATATAAATAACAAAAAATGATAACCCAGTTACAAGCAACCGTATCGGCAACTCCAAACTAAGAAATTGCCTTTAGAGTTGCGGATAGAGTGGAGGTTCCGCTTATAATTGCTCTTATTTTTCTCTCATATGATATAGCCATTAGAGAGTAAAAAAATGTTTATACAATTATTGCTTGCAGAACAAACAAACGATTTTGCACTGTAATTTTCCTTTCTTAAACAACTCTAAAATAGTAAATCTTTTGCTTGACTTTGTAAAACAGCAAAAAAAAATTTGTTAACTGAAAGATATATTATAAAATATTTTATAAATAAAGTACTAGACCAATAGAAATGAACACCCAAATTAAAAAGAAATTGGTTGACTCCTATTCTGTGATGCAATAAATTTCTGCGTTGGTAGAATTTCTGAACAATAACCAAGGTGGTCTGTAATTTTCAAAAAACGATCTAAATGGATATTATGATCATTATAAGAATTCCATATTAGGTAACAATAAATGTACTTTATAAAAGAAAAGGACCTAAGTAATCTGTTGCAATTTTCATTTAGTTTTTATTTTTCTTGCAAAATGATAGTCATATTTATTATAAATTTGCTTCTATTCAGTTCCTAGTGGGCCAACTGCTAGTCCTATAAACAGAACTCAAGAAGATTGTTATCTAGAAAAGAGGAAGCAACTCGCCAAATATGTTGAACCTCTGAAGAGAATGATCAGTCGTATTGAGAAAGATGAAAGTAGGTTATATTTCAGCTTTTAAAAAAGTAGAATATTTGTATCAATTTCTGGAAACATTAAGAACTAGATGTGTGTGGATGTGCTAACATTGTTTTTCAGTTATTAAATCATTGATAGTTTTTTCTTCACTGTGTAATCTCAATTCTTTTTCTACATTATTATAAAGATTATGCATTGTTTCTTAATAATTTCATTGCAATGGTATAACACTTTTATCATTTTTCATCAAAAAGAGGTAAAATTGTTAATTTTCAGATTATGTAAAAAAACTACCTCAAAAATTTACAGAACTATAAAAAAAACCTCTGCACAATGTTGATCATAGTACAATGAAGATATCATAGCAGAAGGAAAAAGGAATTTGTCAGATAATGTGTATTTTTGTTTAAATTATTCATTTTGAAATGACTACAGTTAACTGATGTAGATTGACACCTTTGATACAAGCATGTATCATTTGAATTCCAAATAATTCAAACTTGAATTTACATAATTTGAATATATCAATAATAATATAATATTTGAATATGATCAGTAACTTTTTTAAAATTTGTGAAGAGAAGAAACAAATATTGATAAAAGTTTTTGATAATTTTTTTTAACAAAAAAAATTTTTTTTGATTCCACACAAATTTTAACTAGCATAACATATAAAATAAGTAACGTATATGTTAAAAATAATAGAAATCAAAATATAATTATATATTAAAAAATTTTAAAACTAAATTTAAGGTTCCACTTATCAACTTATAGATTTCAAACTAATAAAGGAACATTTTGACTTATTAAATTAATAGAGAGTTAGTTTAATAGAAAATATTCTTTTCCTTTGTAGAAGGAAGTTAATATAGAATAATGAATTAAAAGTATTTTAAAATAAATTTTAAAAATGTACATTCTATTTATTTATTTTGACTTAAAAATTTTTTAGTTCTTTTGTTTATTATTTTTTTGAAAAACAAAATCCCCCCCCCTCGGACAAGTTAGTTATATACAATATCTACTTACAGTATATTTTATTCTCTTACATAATTTGTGTGCAATTCTATTTCGAAAAATTAATAATTATTATGGTTATAATGTTAATTTTCAAAAGTTTTAGTTTTTATATGTGTACATATAAATTAATTTTATAAATATATTCTTAGATAAAAAGAAAGACTTAAGCCGAATGAAAAGTCTGTATGATATATTGACTGATCCTAACAAGAGGTAGATGATTACTTAATACTATCTAAACTTTAAAGTATCACTTACTGAATAATGATAATAATTTTTTTTCTCTTCATTAGATGTCCCATGGATGTTCTGATAAAATGTGAACAAGTTCTTGAAAAAATGAATCCAGTAAGTATAAGTACTTATATCATGCTTAAATATGATTGGTGACCTATCAAACATCGTCTTAATTTTGTGTGTGTGTTTTTTTTAAATCTTGTATGATTTTTTTTCATAGATAAATATTCTTAAAATCATTTTAATGCATTTAAAATAGTCAGGGCTCATAGTAGTCCTAGTGTTTTTAATTTTCCTGATAAAAAAGATTTTCTCTTTGTACCAATATTACTGATTTTTGTGTATGGGCAAAACATCCTGTTTTATGCAAATTCAAGTGCGGATTTTAAAATGATCGTTTTGAGCAATCAAACATTTTGGATTATCGACCTATCATCTTTTTATTTTCATTTACAATGCTTGTTAAAATAACAAAATTTGTTAGTTTAAACCTAGGGACTGTCTACAAATTATATACGTGGTTCAGGCATACAACATTTTGCAGGATTCATTGTTTGAAACTTGTTTGAAAATTCAATTATTTTATGAAGGAGAAAGTCAATTAACAATTTCACTTTATCCAAATTTTATGATGATAAATTCAAAGGTCAAATACTTATTTATTATTTTCAGCTAATACAGTAATAATATTCTAAGCTGAAGTGTTGTAATTTCATCTGTTTTTAAATATGATAGACCCCAACCACCAATTCTAACAAAGAATTTTTAAATGATTAATTGAGGGATCAGTCACTAATTTACTCTTGTACAAAAATGTTAAGTAGTATATTCATATCGTTTTCTTTATAAAATTAATGAAAACCTATTTAAAAATTACTTGACTGAGGAAGCCATGAACTATATTGTTAATTTTAATTAAATGTTTGTTTGAGGAAATATAAACTAATAATTATTTTTTTTAAAATTCAATTCATGAATTAATTTCATGAAAAAATTTCTATGTTTTGATCTTACAATATAAGTTGTTCAGTACTTCAATTATAAAATTAGCCTGAAACTGTTAAAACTTTCTATTCTAAACGAAGTATTTCTGAAATTAAAAAGAGTATATTTTATCCTTTTACAATAAAATTTGCCTTTATTCTTGTTGAATAAAATAGATCTTTTTTTTCTCATTTTGCACTCTTTAACACTATAAAGACTGAACATTGTTATATACCTAGAAAGCCTGAAGGGGCCAGTGTGGCCCTCTCATATTGTTTGTGTTTAGATCAATTAGACATCTAAAATTTTAAAATGTAATCATAATTAATTTTATAAGATACATATTAGAGACTCTGTCATAAAAATTCTATGGTATCTTATTCGATATGATAGTGGACATATTTGATTAAACGGAGCACTGACTTTTCAACTATGCTTAGACAATATGTAATGTTTTATGTAATATGTATGTCATTAGATTTTTACTACATTGATTATCCCCTAAATTTTTTCGTAAATTATTTTTTGTTTTGTCTAAATATTTCTTTTAAGAAAAATATAATTACTTTCTCCAAGAAGTCTTAACAAATTTTTAATTACATTTTAAATTTTTCTTTAGCTTAATTTTTTTTAAATATTTTTTAATGTAATAAAAGAGTTTAGAATTGTGCTACAAATATTTGTTTAGTAGAAGGCTCAATTAGTATATTTTTTTTTCTTTATCTAATATGATAAAATAAAAATTTCCTGATTTCAAATGAATAATTGTATTTTTGTTGGGAATCCAAATTTGATATATACAGTGCATGCTGTTTAATGGGATTACATCAATGTCTGAAGGTTTTGTTTCCATTTACTCATTATTTACTTCATAAAAGAAAGAAGATAGAATTTTCCCAGTATTTCATGGTGCAAGAATAAATGTGCAATAAGATTTAGGAAGGCAATTTCATATAAGTTTACAAAGTTAAATTTTCAATAAAATTCTCAATTAAAGCTAGAAATTCACAAAAAGTTGCTTACCAGAAAATTTTTGCTGTTTACCAGAGAGAATAATTAGTCAATAAATACAACCCCGAACAACAGATGTTTTCTTAGATATAAAGCAGTGTTGCTGGCTATTTTTGATATTAGGGTATTTAAGTCAGATAACTGAAGAAATTTGATAAATATAAATGACTGATTTTACTAATTACTGATTTTACAAATTGCAGACTTGGTACTATAAAATAGTAAAGAAATAATTACAATTATTCTAAAATCAAAATTTTTTTCCCTGCATAATTAATGACAATTTTGTATTTTAATTTTTATGAGTCATGTAGTAAACATCTTATAATCTGAATATATTGAAGAATATTTGTTTTTACTTTTATTTTGAACTTTCAAATCACTGTTACTACTTGCATATTATGTGTTCTTACTATAATTTTTTTAATCTATTTTCATTAAAATGTTGAAAAATTCTTTTTATAGTCATTTTTACAAATGGATGGTATAACACCGCCTGCCCAACCTACTACTGTCCCTATGAAATCACAAGAACAAAATATATGTCAACCCCTAATTGATGCATTAAACAATATCAGTAAATCTCCTATGTTTAATCATATACTGGAAAAAACATTTGGACCACCTATTACAGCACTCTTTGGATCTAGTGTTAGGTATTGATTTTAAAATGTTCACTTTTATTTAAGTTTGAGATATAAAAAAAGTCATAGCTTCTAGATATCAATATTTTTTTAATAATAACACATTTAAAAAATAATAATAGCATCTTAAATGCTTCCTAATCTCCTACAACACACACTGTCGTTTTTAAATAACATGCAAAAAAAATTGCATAGTTTTTTTTTTTTTTTTTAATGTTATTGATCTTAAATTTTCATTTTCTTCAGTTTGATTCTGTACTTATAACAATGATTGGAATGAAGATTTTTCAATTAATTTAAAACTTAAATTATTTAAGTTAAATTTATATGATGAAATAGCACATTTTAAAAGCAAATAAACCATTTATGCAGATTTTGACACATATTATTTACACATTTATCATTATGAAAAAAGTGACATTTATGGCAGATTCTTTTCACAAAATTACTGTTTACTTTTTTTAGTACGCAGGAATTAAAAATTCAAATTGTTATTGCATTTGGTTTCATTACGTTAAACAGAGATGATTGTGCTGCGGAAAAAATCTGGATTTTCGGATTTTCTACTAACTGCAATCCGGAAATCCAAGGTCCAGAAGTTTCCAGAAATCATCGATCACATTTATGTATAGAAATTCTTGTATATTTTATTTAAAAATATTAGAACTAGAATTCATACTTGTCATCGCTTTCATTTGTAAATATTTTTTTCTGGTCGAATAATAAATGTGATTAGAGATGAAAGTAAACTTATAAATAATTATTCATTTAAATTATGCTGCATATAATTTCATTAGAGTTTTATGTTTTGAAAATATCAATGATTTTAATTTATAAAGACATTAGTTTTTTAAAATGTGTCATTAATGATTTTACTCAAGAAAATTTCAGGATTTTTGAGTTGGGCTCACTATCATCCCTGGTTAAAAATAAATACCTTTATCGAGTAATTATATTCTCGTTTTGAAATAATGTTATACTTAATGTATTATCAATTATATTTATATAAATAAAAAAAATTCTAATAATAGAATCTCAACTCTTATGCAGTTTAAAAAGAAACAATTTTTTAAAACTTGTCTTTCCCTTTTGAGCAAGAAACTTTTAAATTGAATTCTATAATTAGTTTGAAATAAATTAATTTATCAATTTATTTAGAACTCCTTCTCCACCTCCTAAGCGCAGAAAAGCAGATGACGATTCTGCTGAAATATCTGATGTTCTGCAAGGAGAAATTGCTCGTCTTGATCAAAAATTTAAAGTACAATTAGATCCTGTTCAGCATCAAGGATCAAAAACTGTGAATCTCATTTGTCAACTGGGTATGTTTTGTATTAAATTAATTTATCATCTGTATTTAAATGAGATTGATATTAAAAGAAATTTCTAAATAATAGCTTTTATTTCCTTTTATTATAAAAGTAAAGCATTCCCGCAACAGCTCATTGTGAGCCAGGAGAGTCATGGTGGATAAGGCTCCACAATTTTGTGACCAACAGCATGATTGTAACAATATTTTTAGCACTGCGCAGAGTCCGTCTTTACTTCCCAATCAAGCTGGTTTCCATCCATCTGATCGAACTCCAGCTTTTTACAATGACAGCCATCGCAGTTTAGTAGTTAAGGGACCTTTTATTATACCAAATAATAGCTAGAAAAGTATGACAATTATCTTGAAAAATTTGTAATGGTTAAAATTGTTCAAAATTCTCTTTTAAGATAAAACAACTATGCTGTTCACATTATTTTAATATTATTGGATTGAGCTTACTTGTAATTAATTATAAAATAAACTACTATTGCTAATATTTTATTGCAGAGCATGAAATTTTCACTTGCTAGCTCCTCATGGGGGATTAAATATTTTAGACTGTCTAGCAAGTTCCATCTTCTAAATTGTTCAGTTTTAAGCAGGGTTCGATGTTCGGATTTTTCTGATAAAAAATATTTTATCCTTATTTGTCCTAATTATTAGGTTCTGATCCTCATATTCTTGATTTTTGTGTGTTTAGAGCATCTTATTTTTTTAAGAATGCAAATGTGGATTTTTATGGATTTTAAGTATCAAAAAGTTTGGATTTTTAATGCAACATCAATTCTAGTCCTAATTTTTTGGAAAAATGTAGTTCTGATTTTCTTAACCCCATTTAAAGCATGGTTTTAAATTAAAACTACTTATGCTAATCTGTTGAACTGCATAGATTACTACATTAACCCACAAATATTACCGTGCATCAATCCAGTGGCACCAGAAAATGTTTTGAAATCAAACAATGACATTTTTATTATTTTTTTTAAAAATGCTGAGTTACCAACTCTTCTCGTGAAACCTATTTTTTTAACCATTGAATTTTACTTTGATCTCAGCAATTGCAAGAAATGCATTTCAACTGAGATCTTTTATGATTTCAGTCACCAAAGTTTTTTTTTACTACATCTCTGTTTAGCATTTTAAAAATTGTTGATATTTTTCTTTAGTGTAAAATAGTGGTGCAAATTTTTTTTAATCTGACTAGTATTTTTAGAACTGAAATTTTCTTACCATGTTTGTTGTGAAATGAAGATTATATACATGTTTATTTACTTCATATTTTAATTCTTTAGATGATAAAAATTTGCCTTGTGTTCCATCAATAAGTATTACAGTGCCTGAAAATTACCCTGAAAAACCTCCTCAATGTTATACAACCAAAGATGAATATGGTTAGTCAAAGTTTCACTGATTCTTATTTATGCATGCATCATACAGTACACAAAAGCTTATATTTATGTCCAATATGTAAAATATGCATCTAGAAATTTTTATTTTCATTTTGAAGTAATATTTTTATTGCAATGATATATACAGTACTGTATGTACCTGATAACAGAACATGTGCAGTAGGTGACTCAGATTTATTTTGGCCTTACAGACAAAAATTAATCAAGCACCATTTTGTTTTTGTAGACAAAGTTAAAATAAACTGAATACAAATCTCTCCTGCATTAACATCTTGATTTTCATCTGAAAAGTATGCATTAACATGCTCTGTATACGTGTAGAAGTAGAATGCAACTTAGGTGAAATAAAAATTTTTGAGATATGAAACAGTTATAAGGTAAATTCCTAACTGAGATAGCGAACTTTTTAAAACTCAATTCCTCTAAAAATGGTTTTCTTTATTTTAATTTTAACTGTTATATTTAATAAAATATTATATGATAAAACTAGTTTTGACCAATGAAAAACAGTATAAATAAGTCCAATATATTTGTTTTCTCCTAATAATTACTATTATGGCTGAAATGAAATCGAAACAAACACAAGGACATCACAAAAGTCCATGTGGTTTTTTTTTAAATTTTACTTTTAAGAATTATTTTAAGACCGAAATTTCAAATAATATTTTTTGATGCACTTATTTTGCCTCAATTTTATAGTGAATCCACATGGTTTACCATTCTTTTTATAGTAGTTGTTTTTATTACCAAGGAATTTTTAAGGCCCAGTATTCATTCCATCATAATTTCGTGTGGTTTTTATATCACTTTTCAGGCAGTTATTGCTGTGGATTTCTGCACATTTTTTAAAATCCTGCTTTAATTTTTATTTTTATTACAGATATAAATTACAAAAAATGGGAAAACACCTAACGCTAAAGTGCAAGAGTCAGTAACTACATAATTGTTCATGAGCCTCTCTTTTTTTGTTGTTGCTGGACCCACTTTTGTATTTTTAGTGGGTCCCTGAGACTCTGGGTGCAATTATTCAATGATTGACTTTTTCTCCTCGTTTGGTGTCATTGATATTTTTTATAAGCTTGTTTTTGACAGTTTTAAACTACCTTTCCACCCCTTGTAAGCAAAAATAACCTAATCTATATTCTCTACCTATGCTTATGTAAAAAATTTGCAACACCTGCCACCCTCATTTTTGTTTTGACTTTTACTGCAATTGACTGTTATTGTAGTTGGAAACTACGAAGAAGGGTTGAAAAAACTATAGCAAAACGGTGTATTGGTTTTCCAACTAAAATTATCTGTTATGATGTATTCAGAAATTGGAGCATCCATCATGAAGTATTTTTTATCATCTATGAATCATTATTTCTTCATGCCATTAATTTTCAGAAAACACCAAGAAATGAACAGATTATATGATTTATGGATAATTAAAACTAATAGCTGAGATTTTAGACAATTTTTATTATTTCTAATGCAATGCTTTGAAGCTTTTTTTTTCATTTTCTTTTAGAATCTACTTCGATTCTGCAAAGCATTCAGCAAGTACTTTGTACTCGGTTAAGCACAATGCCACAAAAATATTCTATTACATCATTGCTGGATACATGGGTATGTAATATTTCTATGAATTTTGTAAAATTTATGTATTAATTACATTCTGTAAAATTGAGCTGTTATACTAATTTCAGAATATTCTTAAAAGGCTAAAAAAGCATTCCTTACATTTATATAGTGAAACTTTAACAATTTACTTGGATGTTTATATAATTTCATGCTCCAGCTGTGAAGGCATTGCTCACATCACTGGTGAAGCACATGGGATAATGTGTTCTGTATTGGAGGCCAACTAAACAGCTGGTTAAACCTGTCATGGCTGAAAGTTCTTATGTCTTGTAGAGTAAAAGTTTGGAGCACATTGTATAACCAGAGTAAAAATTACATGGCGGTATAAGATGGTGGTTAAAAGTTGGGGTTAGAGGCATGGCTATTTTACACCAAAGGGTGTAAATTTCTTTTAGCAATCAACGTAGTTCGGGACAATTCTCCATCCTTAATATGAAACTTTTTTTTTAAAAAATCCTTATCAGAAATAAGGTATGCACATTAGGGATAACAAATAAATATTTAGTTTAGGAAAAGAAAAAGAGTCTATTTTTATACTAATTAAGCAATGAGATTGAAAACATCACAACCTGTTTGCTTGCTACTGGAAACAGAGAGAAGTAGGCTATTTAAATTCGACTCCATTAAATCAGACAATTAAACTGGTTTTAAAGTTTTTCATCCAACCTCATCCCTCGTGATTCAACAGATTTGAATATCATTTTTTGTTCCTTCGTTTGAATGTTAATTTGATACCAATTGAGTGTTTACTTTTTTGACAAGGATTAGAAAAGATATGTTGCATATGAAAGAGATCCTGCATAACATACTATCCTTTTAAAGTAATGTTTTTGGAAGCATTGATAATTTTTTCCATTTTCTAAAATTCAAATTGCAAAATGAAATTTAAAAAAATGCACTAAGTTGTGTCCACACCTACTTTCACAATAAATTTTGCGAGCATGCGTTTCACCATTTTCTCGCTATTCTATACTAAGCACTTTTACTGTATGTAGAAATTAAAGAATTATTATTTATAAAAAATTATAAGTCTCTTTTTTTTTGCTTTTGTAGGAAATGAGTGTACGTCAAGCCTGTGCTTCTAAGCCTATTGGAGTTGAATCTTAACTCTTATTTATTGAAAGAATATTACATATTTAATATTTTAAGTGTTGTGTTTGACAACTGTATATTAAAGTATTAGTGTATAAACAATAAAATATTTTATTCTATTTTGTTCTTTATGACTTATTCTCCTAAAATAATAATTTTTGTAGCATATTAATTAAGTATTTTCACAACTATGTTTAAGATTACCGTAGCAGGACGTTTAACATCACTGTATCCTAGATCAATTTAAGATTCCATTATTGATTTTTTCTTTATTATTTTTTTTTTGGAAATTAAGTTTTAAAGGCTAACCAAATTAGGCATAGTATTGTACATAATTCGAAAATTTTTAACTTCAAATTATTATAAACATTACGAAATTCATTTCCAAAATGTAGAAAAATTTTAAGAAACATGCATGAAATAAAAATATTTTCAGAATACTGTAAAATATTCATAGTAGTTCAAAATTTATTTTAAAAAAGTATGAATAATAAAATACACATGGGGTGCATTTTCAACGAAATATGTGGTGATTGAATTTTATAATTGTAGCAATTGATTAATTTATATTTAGTCACCCTTTGGCCAGTGGCAACTGTCCATTTTGACCTATAAGACATAGGCAAAATATTTTTAGAAACATTTAAAATAAATGCTGTACTTACCTATACTTACAATATATTCCCATTTAAAAAAAAAACATATTATAACCTTAAAGCACTTGATTGACTCCTGAATGTTGTTGTTGCTTATCCTCTTAATCTGACATGCGTCAAAAAAGCTCCTAGTCGCCACTGACCGCAAAAAAAAGAAGATTTGATGTAAAATCCACCTTAGAAAGTCCAAGTCAAACCAGAGTATGTTCCGACAAAGTTGGTTGAACACAGCATTTTTGCAATGAATGGAATGAGTGATGTATGTTGGAAGATTTTCTCCTGGTGGGGCCATCCTAGGCGTGAAGGCCATCCCTTTTTATCCAGCTAAAATCAGCAGGCATAGGAGGTAAGACAGACTTCGACCCTCGGACATTGTCGGGGGGGGGATATTCCAGTCTTTTTGACCATTATAAGCTGCTCATTTCCTCCTTCATATGGCTTTGTTGGCTCCCGAATGTATGTATCATAAGCTAAATGAAAAATCCTATTCTTTTCACAATAGTGGCATCACTTTGCTAATGCGCCTGGCTGATTGTACAAGTGCCTAATATTTTTTATCTACTAGAAACATTTTAGGTTAATTGCAATGAGCTTACATACTTTTTGGTAATTCGAAAATACACAATTCATTGCTCATTACGACTGATTTATTTCAGGCAGTTCACAATGAGCCTTTTTGCCTTCCTTTTTTTTTGTATCCAGCTTTGAACAGCCGACCCATTTTTGGACTTACAATGTACAATGAGTTGTAGTGGCTCAGAGGATAGAGCGTTCGCCTTCCAATGAGGTGAGCCAGGCTCGAAGCGATGGTTCGTTGATACAAATTCCGCACCCGGCTCGCACCGACCACAGTGCAAATAAAAAATATCCTCGGTGGTAGATGGATTATGGGTTAGAATCCCCTTGCCGTTAGGCTAACCATGGGAGATACTTGCGGTTTTCCTCTCCATGTAACTCAAATGTGGGTTAGTTCCATCAAAAAAGTCCTCCACAAAGGCAAATTTCTTCCAATACTTGATCCAGGAGTTCCCTTGTCTTCAGGATTAGGTTCAAAATTAAAAGGCTACTTAGTTGAACATTAGTAGTTGTAAACTCATTATTGGGTTGGCTGCTCAACGACGCCGACAGTTATTTATATATGATATATCAGTGTACAAAGCCTTGTAATTTTGAACTTAAACCAGAAGGCAAGGGAACTTATGGATCAAGCCTTGGGACAAAATATCCTTCACGGAGGACTTTTTCTTGGAAATAATCTGCATTACATTAAGAGGAAAACCTACCACGGTTAGCAAGGGATTGTAATCCATGATCCGTCTACCACTAAGAATAGTAATGAATTCACGCGACCCAGGCCATTAAGGCCTATACACAAAAACTGGATGTCTCGTCCAAATGACGTCAACCACGTACAGCACAGGAGATTCAGGCACTCGGGTCAAGGCCCCAAGTCACACAAGATTTCTAGCAACACGAAACGCGTCGGATGGCAAAGAAGGAAATTGTCGGAGTCTAAAGCGACGACGTCAGTCGACAGCAGCGAGCGTCCGTCACACCGTGGCCCATCGAGCGAACCTCTGGCCGGAAAGTTTTAACGAACCGTTAAAACTTTGTTAATAACAAACAGTTGCTTAAAAACGAGTACAATCTGGAAATAGTTGAAAAAGTGTTAACATCAATTATAAGATACCCAGAGGCTTACACCTCTAGCTGTATCTATACCTCTCTTTTTGGGTTTCCATACTGCTCAGCGACATGTTCAATACTTTTAATGAATTTTAGAATAGATACCGTTGAGGATATTTTATGTCAGCACTGTAGTCGCTGTGTTGTCCAATTATCTCTAGGTTTCGAACCTACGTCATCTCATTTAGAGGCGAATTCCGTATCCACTGAGCCACTACTGTTGACTTTTACCTTATTATGAATAACCTTATTAAAAAGTTAATTAGATTGACTCATTCTTATCACACGTCACGATTAGTCAAAAGACACATGCCTAATTAAGAAATGGGCTTATAAGAATAATTGTAATACTGAAGATTTTTCAGATATACTTAAGTCTCCTTTATGTTGAAAACAAATCTATATAGTAATAACTGTTAATTTAATTTTTGTATCAATTAATAATTCAAAAATTTATTTATCAATTGGATTTTTGTTTGTCTACTTTTGCTGTTACTTCTTTACTAAAATTGAAGTAGTAGTATAGTAAACGAAGAATTATAATTATTTTCGACAATTTCGAATGAAATGAGATATTTTAAGTTTACAACATTTTAACAATTAAAATAAAAATATCTAGTTCTAAGATTGAAAATGGTTTGATTTTTAAACTAAAGTGATGTCTAAAAAGGGGTCATTCGAAGAAGTTTTTTTATTGGCCATTTTGAACCCCATTTCATCAAAATAAGAAAATTACAAATCCGTGGTGGCTCAGGGGATAGAGAGTCCGCCTTCCAATGAGGTGAACCGGGTTCGAATCCTGGCTATGACTTGTCGATATGAATTCCACACTCGAATCGCATCCCCCACTTTGCTGACGTATAATATCCTCAGTGGTAGACGGATAAAAAGTTAAAGTCCCCATGCGTCAGGCTAACACTGGGAGGTTTGCGTGGATCAAAAGTTAAAGTTTCCATGCGTCAGGCTAACAGTGGGAGGTTTGCGTGGTTTTCATCGACATGTAACGCTAATGCGTGGTTTGTTCTATCAAAAAGTCTTCCACAATGGTAAATTTTCTCCCAATACTTGATTCAGGAGTTCCCTTGTCTTCTAGATTGGGTTCAAAATTACAAGGTTACAGCGTTGAACATTAGTACTCTAATCTGAAAAAATTGGATCGGCTGTTCAACCGACGGTTATAAAATAAAATCCCTTATGTTATGCATATGTTAAAAATTCTCAATATACTCTCCTTGTTTTATGCTTTGACTTTTACTGTTGTAATCTAATTTTAGAAATAAATTTAAATAAATAATGTAACTTTGCATAAAACTAAAATTACGTTTATTATATGTATTTCTGACTCTCTAATCGCAAGTAAAAATATATTTTGGTATTTTTTTAGTTATAAAAAACAGTTTAATAGTTAGATTATCAGAGTTATATTTGTACCAAATTTAAAATAAGTAGCTAGAAATTTTTTCGTATCATTTATATTAAAATTTAACAATAATTGATTTTGTTTATTAAAGGAATTTCAATAGTGAATAATTGTTTCTCTTAGATTTAAATAAGTACAAATTTAATAGTTTGGAAGATTTTACCATTAACGCAAAAAAAGTCACCGGCGTTTTATGCTGTATTTCTTAACCATAAATTATTATAATGCTAAGTATAATGTTTTTTACTTATTTTGTGCTAAATTAATACAAAATAATGGAAAGAATATGAAAATTATGTTTAGTAAAAATTCTATAACAAAGGGTTAATTTATCTTATACAATTTTGAGTAGAATATTCTTTAGAAATTAGTGTTTTGCAACGATAGTAAAAATCTTAATCTTTCTATTTTTCCCTACCCAAATTTAACTTTAATTACAAGCTTTTTTAATTGAAAAAAAAAAAACAGAAAAATAATGGAATTATGTCTTATGCAAACATTGCTCATACCATTCCGCTCCCTTGTATGTAACAATAAGCAAATCACAAGTCCCTCTCTCCTGCGAGGCTTTAGTAATATTTGAACAACCACAAATTAATTATTTAGCTTTCGCAAGCAAGCAGGAGTTTTGTCTTCGTAAATAGATAGTCCAGTAAAATTGGATTTTTTCGTTTAGAGTTTCGTTTCGCTTAGAGCCGTTTTTAGTTTAGAAGGAATAAGGGTTTTACGTAGAAAAAGTTATTATTTGCACAACTAACTTTGTTATCTACACAAGTGAATGGAATGAATTTAGAAAGGTTTTGGTGTATTATAATTACTTCCTTTCATGTGTGCATTGTTATATATTAGGAACTATCTGAACATATAAGGTATATTTTCCAATGTAAATTTTTGGGCTGAAAGAATTGAAATAAAACAGGAAACGATAAAATAAATATTTCGGAAGTTATAAGGATTTTGTGTACGAAAAGTACACTTTTGTGCTTGCACTTACATACGCATGTCACGTTGTTATGCAGACAAGTGAGGTATTGTTTCCTATGTATTTTTTTCTTTCTTAATCAAAACAAACCCAAATAATCAAAAGGAGTAATAGTTCAAAATTTGTACTGTTTTTAAAAAAAAATTTTTTTTTAAATAACGGCAGGCACTGAACTTTCGTTCTTCGCCTTAGAAGATGCCGGAAGTGTTGCTCATTTATCGTTACCCAGTGGGCACCTGTGAACCAAAGTCACGGAGGCGAGCAACATTACCCACGCCACACTGCCACAAATACCCGTTCATAGGGTGGGCCACATTCACACATCAGACGACAATAGAGAGAGAAACATCCATGCCCAGAGCGGGATTCGAACCCGCAGTCAGGCACGCTAACCACTCGGCCATCTGGCCGGCGTTTTTTTTTTCTTTTTTTTTTTTAAATACAGTTTTTTGAATTGTATTTATTATGAATAAATTCCTTATTGCTTCAATGCTATTAATCCTATTGACTTGAATTTCATCCCATTTCATTCAGTATGAAAAATTAGATAGGAAAATGTATCTTGCATGTTCAGATAGCAATGCAAAAATTGTACATAAATACATGTGAATATAAGTACTTTCTTATACTTAAATCGCTTTTAACTTTCAAACAATTTATTTTATTGACTCTCATATAGCCTCATTCGATTTAACTTTTAAAAAAATGCATCATAAAAAATGCATCATTTATCTGTTAGGAAGAAATTCAATCCTGCTCTTAAATCACTCTCATTTTCCTCGGAAAAGGGAGAAGCGTACAGAGAAGAGTAGGAGGGTGTTCAGGTATCATTTCTAATGACAAAAAGAAGTTTCGGGGAAAAACCTTTTTTATTCTTTCTGGTATTAGTTTTCCCGAAGGTACACTCTTTGTATTGCTACAGTTATTGGACTCTGATGTACTTCATCGAAACCGGAAGAAATTATGCTCGAAACGAATTTTCACTTCAATGACGAATTAACGCAGAATCAATGTTCAACTCCATAACATTGAAATTTTTAATTTTAACAGATCAGGGGTGGATCCAGAAATTTTTCCTGGGGGGGGTCATAGACTCAGATCCCCCCCCCCGCAATTTTTTTATGAAAAAAAATTTTTTTTGAAGGAAAAAAAAATTTGGATTTTTAATGCTTATTTATTTTTTTCATAATGAACAATACATAAATAATTCAAGTATTCAAAATTTTTAAATAATAAATGTAATGCGTTTTTTAGAAACTTTGGCAAATACAATCTTTGGTTAAACCTGTTGAAGCAGGCTTAAAGCGCTCGGCGTGCTTCAACATTATTAATGTTTACAATGAAACTATCACGAATTTCGTTGTAATATTTTGGATTATGATTCTTGAAATAGTGAAGAACATAATTAGATGGAAAAAAATCGATTTTTCCGATCTACCCAATTGTATATGCCCCCTTAAATAGTTTTTAAAATAATTTGTATTATTATTTTTATTATAAAAATTATTTTTTTTTTCAATATTGGGGGTCATGACCCCCCTGCTGGATCCGCCACTGTACCAGATTGACCAGTATTATCCTGGATCAATCATTGGGACAAAGTCTTCAAGGAAGACTTTTTGATAAAATAAAACCGCATTTGCGTTGCATGGAGAGGGAAACCACTGACACCTCCCATGGTTAACCCGGCGGCAAGGGGATTTCTACCCCATGATCCGTCCACCACTGAAGATATTGTACTGTGGCATGTGCGAGCTGGGAGCAGAATTAGTATAAAGCAGCCATCATGAGCCGCGATGGCTTAGGGGATAGAGTGTTCGCCTTCCAATGAGGTGAACCGGGGTTCGATCTAGGTGATGACTGGTCGATAGAATTCCGCATCAGGCTTGCACCGACCGCAGTGCTGACGTGAAATATCCTCAGTGGTAGACGGATCATAGGTTAGAGTCCCCTTGCCGTCAGGCTAACCGTGGATGGTTCTCGTGATCTTCCTTTCCATGTAATGCAAATGAGGGTTAGTTGCATCAAAAAGTCCTCCACGAAGGCAAATTTCTCCCAATACTTGATATAGGAGTTTCCTTGTCTTCTAGATTGTGTTCAAAATTGCAAGGCTACGCAGTTGAACATCAGTAGTCGTAAACCCGAAAATTGGGTCAGCTGTTCAACGACGGTTATAAAAAAAAAGCAGCCATCATAGGGGTTCAAATATGGGTCACCTGATTGGGAGGCGAACTCTCTATCCCCTCAGTCACCGCAATTCATTCTGAATATTTGAAAAAAATATCCTACAAATCTAGTTATAAAGCTATAAAAATGAAGAAAGTACCACTTTAAATAGCTTGGTATCCTGCTGAGCATGGAAGTACTATTAAAAAAGGCAATAAACATAATTTTTGCATGTAGGGTTTGAAAAGATTTGTATAAATTCTTGCTCTTACTATTCTAAACATTACCCAATTAACAACTTAACCTTTCTCCATTACTTAACACTAACAAAAAAAAAAACACTTTATTCTAGCGAGTAAGTATTTTAAAAAGCAAAAACCTACATTTTCAAAAAGGAACAAAGCATTTAGCAAAGTCATATCCTGCCAGTTTCTATATTATTAAATATTGATATTTCAAAAAGCAACACAATTTTTCTGAATAGCCAATTTGTCCCCATAGGCGGGAATTCCAGTGTTTCGAGGTCACTATTAACGTGGATGGAATTGCGCAGAATGATGTAAACAAAAAAACTCCAGCAGCGTGAATAGTGAAAGCATCAACTGTCATGACGAAAACTCGAGTTAGTGCTACCACCGACTTTTTCCGTTTCGACTGAACTTCCTTTGCGTACTAAAAACATAAAGAAGTTCCGCGCGTGAAAATTGTATTTTGACGCCTACTTTTACCCGCATGGTGCTGTGAGTAAACACTTTTATGCCTTCTAGTCCTCGGCGAATTACTAAATTAACTTTTACCTGAACTAACAACTTACGCAGAAATGAACGTCACACGCACAGTAAGATTTATTTTTATCTCTTTGTTGTCATTTCAAATCAGTTTTCGCAACCTTGCATTGTTAAAACATTAATTAATTACAAATGAATATCTTTGCCTGTTAAAAAATTCCACGCGTTTAAACTGAAAAGTAGTTTTTAAAAAATGTATTTTGATTATTAATTATGTAAACTTATAACACACAAGTTAAATTTCTAAAGCTAAAAATGTATTAAACTTGACCTCAATCGCAGAGTTAGATTTACTTTAATCTTTTGTTAGTTCAAATGCTTTTGTAAGTTTGCATTGTTGAAATATTAAGTAGAAATTAATATAGTTATTTAAATATTTGAGATATTTAAACTGAAAAAGTTAAAAAAATATGTTTCTTTATTATTTTTAATTTTTCAATTTTAAAACATTTAATATGTGTAAAATAGTTTGAAATTGTGATATTTATTTTAAGAGAGGAATTAATTTAAAAGTTAAATTTTAATAGACAGATATTTTTTCCTAAATCTGAATTTGAAGTTCAGAATGGTAAAACGAAAAAATGTTAATAGAATTAGTTTTGAATAAATGGTTTCTTTTGTAAACTGTCTTTTGAAAACACACACACACAAATCCAGGGTTTTAAATTTAAATCTAAAACCCTGGATTTGTATTTAAATATAGATTTTTATTTGATTAAGGTTCAATTATGATAAACACAGTTGAAATGCTAAAAATAAACTAATTTTGCATCCATTATCTACCTTTCATTGATATCAAAATCGTCTTCTTTTTTTTTTTTTAGTAAATTTAGTCAAAAATCGATAGTTTTAATTGTATAACGCATCATAGGCATGAATATAGGAATTTCAAATGAAAATTTACGAAATCGTATATTTCTTTGTGCCCAAATTTCCCTGCATTCCAATAAAAATATGAAATAAACTTCAATTCGAATACAAGTTCAATTATCTTTTTTTGATGTGATAATTCATTTAAACAAAAAATAAGTTGCCACTCAACAGTTTATTATTAAGCAAAAATTATTCAAGTTTTTATAACATTATATGAAAAATAAGTTGTCACATTAAAGAAAATACTGGATTAGTATTCTGTAGATTAAATATGCAAATATACAAATATAAATATATACAAATATAAATATATACAAATATAAATATATACAAATATATATATAATATATAAATATGCAAATATACAACAACAAAAAGTCTACCCAACTACATTTTTGCAATTTNATATATATAACACAAACCGCACAATCAAACCACATTGTTTACATAATCTTCATTATTTGTTTTCCCACTCCACATCGCAGACAGTAATGAATATAAGCGGAAATAGTTGTTTTGTGGTTTGGGGAAGTTCTGAGTAGTGTTTCATAATTTTGTGCGGAGATGCCGATGAACATCTAAAAACATAGGTGCGAGAAATTGCTCATCATTTTTACTCCCTTCTTCTCTGGCTGAACGTACGGGGGGAAAAAACAAAATCGCAAATAATTATTTAGTTTAGTTTAGATTAGATGTTTATTTGCGCAGCACTACAGCTGCACAATGGGCTGTGGGCGACTGTCTGGGGAACATCCCTGAGGATGATCCGAAGCCATGCTATCACAATTTCGATTCTCTGCGGAGGGGAAAGCTCCCCTTTTGATAGCCCAATGACCTACGAGCGAAATCGAGCACTTTACGGTCGAACAGTTTAACGAGGACGGATACCGCACACCCACTGTCCCTTCGTATAGTCTGATCAAAGTGGTCACCCACCCGCACACTGACCACAGTCAGTGATGCTTGACTTCAGTGTTCCATCGGGAACCGGTCGTTACGATCAGTTCAATCTTACATTCAGTCTTAGAATTAGTCCTGGGACAAATAGTTATTGAATTTCTATTAGTTAACACTACGCAATCATACACAAATCTGAAAAATATATCTCACGACACTTAATTTAAAAATAATTTTGTTTCTTTTAAAAATTTTATTTGTTAACTTTCCCGTTGACTTAGCTCACATCAAAGTAAAGATCAACTATTCTCAGCTTGATTCGGCACCGACTCATGATAATCAAGATTAATCCCAAATGATTAATTTTCCAGATAAATTGACACTTTAGTAAAGAATTTAACTTCTTTCCTTTCATTTACCGTTGATGAAACATTGGTTTATAGAAATACATTTCAAAAAACGTAACAATAAAAATAAACAACTGTTCCACATAGCTTTCAAAATACTAATTCGGAGACGTTGCACCAAGATGCCAGCAATACTTGGGCTTACCCGGCATAAAGAATCGAACGTAGGCTGTTAAAAAAGTTTTGCAACACCCTTGCTAAAAGATCTCGTTTATATCAATAACGAATCGAAACCCGAAGTCATTTAGAGCTTATTGATGAAAGTTTAAACTAAGATCATCAAAAAAGAACAACACAAAATTAAAATTCATAAAAATTGAAATTTTCGCAAGTGTTGCAGAACTTTTTTAACGACCATATATAACCATCATAACTTATTTCTTCGTTTCGCGTAAGGCTCCTATACTATCAGAGCAGACCTATCAAGCAATATTGGAGCAAACAAGTTCGCAAGTTAACGTTATGAATGTTAGTATTAGTTATGTTATGTGCTTATGTTAGCTCTTTGCTCCAAAAATAAATGATAAGTCGGCCTGTCTAATTCAGGGGCTCTAGTTTCGCGCTTAATCTCATTTGTTTCAGCGTAAAAATAAATAAATAAAAACATCGGAAGCAGTTTTTTATTGGTTTAAATAATAATATTTAAATCTATCTCCCACTCTTTTACCTTCTCCCGCCAAAACCTGAAACGCATGGTTGTGCAAACCTTTTATCACTTTCTGCGAGACTAGGATACTAGTAGGCTCGTAAGAATTGTTTCTTTGTAAGCCAATTTTAAATTCCGTTTTAGTAAATATTATTTATAATTATAGTAGCAAATTTCAAGAAAGAGAGAAAACTGATTATAATTGAAACATAAGCCATTTGTGATTATTTGCGTTCAGGAGAAATCATACGAATCATTTTTGTTTTTGAAACAAAACTAAATGAATCGTGGTGAAAACATGTGTATTCTTATCTAATGAGAAACATAAGTGGAAGATTATTTATACTGCAGCAAGATATGAAAACACTAATTTCTCATCACCACGAAACTTCCCACACGTTATCTTGCACATAAAGATCTACAAAAAGAAGAAAAAAAATATCCTAAGAAAGATATCTTCTCTTTTTATTTATTTTACTAAAGAAGTCGCGCCAAATGATAATACGCAATTCGTAATCTGAAGATTATGAAAATAAAACATACGCTTCCGATGACCGCATTAAAGAAAAATAAAAGCTGCCGTAAGCTTTAAGAGAAGAGCTATCACTTCAAAAGAGCACCTTCATTTAATAAGCACTGATTTAGAAGAGGAAAAAAAATGTAAGTAAGATTTATCAGAAATTAACGCAACCTTTATAGTTCAATATCAAACGATTACTTTAATAATTCATGGTTATGAATAAATACAGCATGAAGCACAGTCTCTTTCTGCCTTAAAGGTAAAATATTCCAAACGCGGCTTACTTTCTAACATTGATTTTTAATTTTTCGCTTATTTGCAGTTATTTTGATCTAAGAGAAACATTTATACATTATTGATATTTCCTTAATTTACAAAAATTTTTAATATTAATGAAAAAAATAACTTTTTTTTCAAACTACTTTTTTTGGATTTTATGTTTTAGTACAAATATAATTTCGGTAATCTAACAGATTGATTAGCACCTATTAGACTGCTTTTTATAATTAAAAAATACCAAATTATATTTTTACTTGTAATTAAAGTGTCAGGAAAAAAGTATATATATAAAAGATAAACCGGTGTCCCAGCAACGTCAAATGGCTGCGATTTTGTGCTACACACTTGTTTTTGGAATTGTTTTGGAATGATAGCTAGTATAAAATTACAATTAGAGAAAATTTTATCAGTTCCAAGAGCAAGACAGTGGAAACCAGCTGTTAGTTCTGTAGTTACTGATCCTTGTTTATCAACAAAAATTGTCATTTGATTGTGTTGCTTTTGGTGTTGGCGCTTAATTTTGCCGAATCCTAATTCATCTTTTTCGGTATTATCGATCAAGTAAAGTATTGTTCGCATTCTCAGTATAAGGGAAGTAGCACATTTAGAAATAGAAACCTTTAGGTCTTCTTTATTTCACATGTAATGTGACCAATAATATTGCAATTTGACTGGTGTCTTTGTGCAAACAAACAACGCGAATCGGACAGAACCTGTTAACTGTTTCGTTATGAATGTGTGTTTGCCTCATAACATAGGAAGTAAGGTGATCTCCGAAGCAAGGAAATAGGTTCAACCGATTCTATTACATAACGAGCTTTGATTTAGGTATGGGAAAGCCTCTTGTACTTTTCAGAGCCGGTTTTTGTTTAGATTCAGAGAAAAGGACTGGAGTTTTCGAGGAAAATTTGCTTTTTTAATTTAAACTCTGTTAACAGTTAACTTCGCTATGTCGCAAAATGAAAATTTGACTAGGTGTCCATTTTCAGTTGTGTATTAATCAATGATGATGTGAATAATGCTTGATCGGGTGGGGAAACGATTAAGATCCATTTAATTTTATAACCTTTACAATTTTGGTGTTATTTTTTTTTACTCATTTTCGAAATGTTCGAAGAAAATTAATTGAAAAAATATTAATTTTTTTAAAGATTCTTTCTTTTTTTCGAGAGAGAGAAATGTTTCTGAAGAATGGACTGTCGGAGGCCAATTACTGTAGTTTTTCACTTTATCTAAACATAATTTAATGGCATTATCTCGTAAATGATCAATCATTTATGTCTCTTCACTCTTCATTCATGTCTCTTCACAAACTGAATAAAAAACGCACTTAAGGAAGAAAAGATTGAGCACACTCAACGATTTGAAATATATTACCTGTAACAGGAAAAATCAATTACCATTATGAGAACATCTATTGTTTCACAGTATTGGCTTACGATATAAAAAAATATGCCCATTTTACTCTTTCATAGTTGTGATAGTAACTACGCATCAACAAATATAAAGCAATACCGAATTGGTATTAGAATTAGGATATGCCATCGCTTAACATGTTTTTAAATTAGGCATAACCAGTGTTGATATATCGTGTATGATTTGCAAAGTAATATGATGCACTATGACGCATAATGTTTGCAAATCTTTTTATCCATCAGCTGTAATGGCTGTGAGAACCTCTCGGAACTGGGAGGCACCTAGTCTATCAGAGAACCTCATAATACGGGAAGTTAAAAAATTAATTTGTAAAAAGAGGTTTGAGCCTATTTCGTGTGAGGACTCTACCACTGTTCAAGTAATACATATATTATAATTTTTATAGCCTTTTTTTACATTCTATTGATTTTTTGTAGAAATATGTGAAAATGATTTGGATAGAAAAGTGTGATCTATCAAATATTCCCAAAAATTTCATTCATAATATCACATTAACCCGTTCAGGATTGGCTACAGAACAAAAAAAGCACTTCCACACGCTCCTAGAGTATGGGCGTTAATATGAGATGCAATTACGAGAGTACCAAATTGAGATCACATTCTTGTGATCATGGGCCTCTGGAGTCAGAAAGGCTAGTCTCGCATGATACCGTGGTCTTGACGGAGGAATTGCGTGATCACATATATGTGATCATGGTATAGAAGAGGTTAATCGCGTCTGTAGATCAAGTTTATTTTCACAACTGTGTGAATTCGAATTTTGAAAGTTAAGGTTGCGTTTCTATCGAAATGTCAGAAAATTTAGGTTCTGCACTAGAGTACTAGATTTCTTTATTTAAATAATGGAACTTAAGTGCAAATTCACGGCAGGTGTACTATGGTGGTGTTTCAACATCGGCATTTGAAATTTACTAGAAAAATTAAAGAAAAAAAATAATGCGTCAATTGCAGGAATTACATAAAAAAAACGTAAAAATTGAACTCTTATCAATTGATTACAATACGGCAGGAATGCGGGATTGCTTGACACTAGTACACAACACTAGTAGAACGTATGATTGAACCACTGGTTCGAGTTTGCTAATTTTGTTGCAGTTAGGTCTTTTGGTTATGTTCTTTAACAAAGAAATTGCGAATTCAAAAGCCACATNTGATCATGGGCCTCTGGAGTCAGAAAGGCTCGTCTCGCATGATACCGTGGTCAAGGCGGGTGAATTGCGTGATCACATGCATGTGGTCATATATGTGGTCTATCACATATATGCGATCTATCAAATATTCCCAAAAGTTTCATTCATAATATCACATTAACCGGTTCAGGAGTAGCTATAGGACAAAGAAGCACTTCCCCACGCTCCTAGAGTATGCGCGTTAATACGAGATGCAATTACGAGAGTACCAAATTGAGATCACATTCTTGTGATCATAGGCCTCTGGAGTCAGAAAGGCTCGTCTCGCATGATACCGTGGTCAAGGCGGGGGAATTGCGTGATCACATGCATGTGGTCATATATGTGGTCTATCACATCTATGCGATCCATCAAATATTCCCAAAAGTTTCATTCATAATATCACATTAACCGGTTCAGGACTAGCTATAGGACAAAGAAGCGCTTCCCCACGCTCCTAGAGTATGCGCGTTAATACGAGATGCAATTACGAGAGTACCAAATTGAGATCACATTCTTGTGATCACGGGCCTCTGGAATCAGAAAGGCTCGTCTCGCATGATACCGTCGTCTTGACGGAGGAATTGCGTGATCACATACATGTGGTCATGGTATAGAAGAGGTTAATCGTGTCTGTAGATCAAGTTCATTTTGACAACTGTGTGAATTCGAATTCTAAAAGTTAAGGTTACGTTTCGATCGAAATGTCAGAAAATTTAGGTCATGCAACCATATCGCTGGAACGAGAATACTAGATTTCTTTATTTAAATAAAGGAACTTAAATATAAATTCACGGCAGATGTACTACGGTGGTGTTTCAACATCGGCACTTGAAAATTTACTAGAAAAATTAAAGAAAAAAAAACGCTCGTCAATAGCAGGAATTACATCAAAAACAATGCGGTATAACGTATGATTAAACCAATGGTTCGAGTTTGCTAGTTTTGTTGCAGTTAGGTCTTTTGGGTTATGTTCTTTAACAAAGAAATAGCGAATTCAAAAGCCACATTAATTAAGTATTGCCTGTGTAATAATTATTTATATTAAAATGCTTCAAGTTGTTAAATTTTATTTTATATGAAAGCTAAATGACTGAATCTTTAAAAATATTTAGAAACAATCAAACCTAATTTTTTTAATATTTTGTTTAGAAAATATTTTTTATATCTCCACCTCTCAGATGTACGTGGGAAAAAAAGAATGCGCTATTTACGTAAAAATTCCATAATCAGCCATTTTCTAACTTTTTTTCACCTTTCACTAACTTTTTTTAAATATGTTTGAAAAGCTATAAGTTGCACTCAAAGCTTTTTTTTCTTCATATTATGACACTGTTTCCAAAAGAGGCTGCCAGCCCTGTTTCAGTATCTCGTGAGCAAAGCTGCTGCGTGGATTAGTGAGCAGGGGTAATGCGCCCTAGGAACATTACATTTGAAATAAATTTAAGCGATATATCAATATAATCATTTTACATTAATTCAACATGTAAATATATATTTTTTTATTCTAATCACAGTCAATGCTGATCACATTTGACTCGTCGTGGGCATTTTTTGACCTGTGAGTGGCGTGCCTGAAATGCTTTTATCTAAAACATGTCTTTCTCGTCATTTACCTTGACATGCTTTATCATATTAAATTATACATATGCAATGCTATACCACTTCCTTATTATAAACTACTAGTGAAACTGAACAGGTTCTTTTATTTATATAAACCATGATTATTTCTTGTTAATTTTTATACTTTCTATTAATTACCGAATTTTGCATTTATATTGGCTCAGTATTAACTGTTTTATTGTGATAAAATGTTTTGATGTTCTTGTCTAATTATTCGCCAAATCTTTAAAAATCTAATACTGAACCAATTTGAATGCAATTTCCGGCAGTAATTAATAGAAAGCATGAAGATTGACAAGAAATTAACATGATCTGTATAAATAAAAGTACCTGTTACAAGGCGCAATGTAGAAACAGTTAATAATAGGGAAACCATATCCACGATGCCATTTCCGGTCATTTCCTATGTCATTCCTAATCTCACTCCTATTTATTTCCAATGAGTCCAGCAAGTTTCTTTATCAGTCTCTTATTTTAAAGCATACTTAAAATACAGGAATTTATAACAAAACGTAATACTTACTTTGTGAGTCATTTTTTTCTAAGAAATAATAAAATAATAAATAAAATGTATCCAATTATATTTCTGTTTGTATTGACTATCTTCCGCTTTCACATCTATCGTTAAATAT